CCCCCTTCACCTTCACATCTGGGCTCCTCGGCAACATGGAAAACACACAAAGATCCAATACTCCCCCAAAAAGTGCAGGTGGAAAACCTCCCCCTCTGCTGCTATCGGGGAGCACCTCTTACTCAGTCACCCTGTTGTTGCCAAGCCAAACATCTGAGTAAAAAATCATGCCTTGAAGCCCACCAAATGCAGCTTCTGGCTGGACCCTCCAAGCGCTCCACTGAGACCGCTCTGGTGCTGCTGGCCCAGGCGAGGCCCCACCTAGCTGCAGTGGCCACGTGTTATTCCCGTGATGCTCTGCATAGCTGCTGTTTTTTAAAGAACAAGGCAGGAAAGGGAGGCTGGCCATGCAGTGCAATGGTTATGCACGACTGTTGGGCAGGTCTATGGATCGGGTATGTCAGGCAGGTCCACAAATGCTGCCTGCCTTCAGATCCAGTGTGGTCCTGCAGAGAGACCTGTTCCCATCTGAGAGGATCTCCCAGAAACCTGTGAGCACGTATGGCCCCAATCCTGTGCTCTGACCCCTCTCCCAGCAGAGAGCCAGCTTGCCCCAGCGGATGGCAGAGCCCAGGCAACAGGCGAATCTCAACTTCGACTGAACTGCACAGCACTGACTGCAAAGGAAGCACCCGCTGCCCGGCTCTCTCCGAAAGCCCTGGCCTCTGGGAGCCTTCAGGTTTGTGGGTAACTCCCCAGTAAGCAGAGACCAGCCCAGGGCTGCACAATGAGACACCCTATCAGAGGGTGTCGGGAAGGCCGTAAATGTCCAGTCAACGTACAGCTCCATAAACACCACAATGGGCTGCCACCAGCCCTGGCTCTGGCAGGAAACATCCCTCTTTGCCACAGCGGTACATGGCCAGCGGCTCGCGGCCGTGCAGAGTCCTTGGCGGCCGTGGCGGGCAGCTCATCTGCTGCTCTGTGGACCAGCTGATGGCAGCCATAGCCCTGTCCTTCAGGCACCAGTGCTGGGCACAGATAGCTGGGAGGCAGGTCCTGCCTCCTGGGAAGCTCAGCTCTATCAGAGCACAGACACTCTCCAGGGTTGTCCGCAGGGCTGATGCTGGCCCAGGAAATGCTGCCCACTGGCCGGGACTCGGGAACCCCAGGCAGGACGTGTGCTGCTCCCTGAGATGTTCCTGCTCACCTGGCTCCTAGGTTTGTGCTGTGCCACCCCAGCACAAGGGACCTGCTACTGCGGGGCTGCTGGAGGGCTTGGAAGAGAAAGCACTCGAAGAGCCTCATGTGTCCCAGCAGCACACACCAGCCCCCTGCGGGGTCGCCTGGGGCTGCTCGTGCACTGGCAGGAGAGACCACGGGCTGCAGCAGCCCCTCTGCGGTGACTCCGGGAGCTACCCCATGTGGAGGTCAGGGCCTTGTTTGCTGACCGAGCCACTGGCGGCTTTGTGCTGCACGTGGAAACACCTCGGGCATCAGTCATCTCACTGCCCTCTGAGAGGCTCTGGGCAGATGCCTGAGCATCAAGGGGGCCCGTGGCAGGGAAATCCCGATGCTAGGAGCTCAGCCATGGGAGGGTCCCAATGTCGCCTCTCGGCAGAAGGATGTTCTTCACCCTGCTCGTCTCCTCCCAGCTCTGCTCCAGGGCCCCCACGCCCCCTTCAGCCTGGGGCTGCTATTTTACCCCATCGCCTGCCTGCCGTCCTCCACCAAGTACTTGTGGCTGGGCAGAATGAACCAACAGCACCACCTGAGGGGGTGGGATTGTTTGGGAAAAGCCCACACACTGACTCAGCCCTCTTCCCCCAAGTCCTGACCACGTCCGGCTGCCACTGAGAAATCTGCAAGGTCTGCCCTGAAAGCTCCTCTCCTGCTGCAGGGCAGCTTCAATTCTGGCCCCCGCCGCACCAGGCTAGTGCCAGGAGGCTCTCAGGGTTCAGACCCAGGGCGGGGGCTGATAACTCTTCTGTGGGATCCTCTTGGAGGCCCTGGCTGACACTCATGTAACACCGACAGAGCCCGGTCATTGGTGGGCGGAATCGAACCTGGGGCCTTCGGAGCTTAGTGCATGAATATTCCATGAGCTAAAAGCCAGCTGTTTCTTAGCTAAGGCTGTCGAGCAGATTCATTAACTCTCTCTAAGTGGCCTGGGTGCCCAGGAGGCGTGTGGTTACACTCACACTTGGCCTGTGAACATGCCAGCAGCACAGGGACCCAACGGGCGCACACCAAGGGAGGGGACACTAACGCCACGGTGTGATTGGATGGTGCCTGGCCCCGAAGGACTTTAACAAGCTCTGTGCAGGGATTGCATCACTCGCCATCTCTGCTTTAGAGCACTTGGCAACACTGCCAAGGGCAGGAGACGACAAGGTCTGCCTCCACTGTGCATTACAGCAGCCTCGCCGCACTCCCTCGGACCTCGCTGGGGCCAGTGCTGATTCTGACAACACACGTGCCCGCTCCGGCCTCCCAGCCACATATAGGCCCAAGTCACTGGCACGTGGTGGGCTGTGTGCAGACTCCCTACTGGCACTTCGGCACCACAACCCAATCCCCGTTCTGAGAGCAGAGAACCCAGGGCCACAGACTAGCTACGGGGCAGGGAGCGTCTGAAGATGAATCAGTAAATGCCAGGGAAAGGGGGAATCGCCGGAGCTGGTATTTACATTACAGTAACAGCTACAAAGACAACTGAGATTGGGTCCTGTTGCGCTGGGTGCTGCAGAGACCCAGCAAGAGCCAGTCCCTGCCCCCTAAGAATTTGCAATCCAAAGGGAGGGAGGGCAGGTGATTTGTCCAAGGAATAGGTATGGGTCTCCCCACTAGACCAGGCTGCCTTCCTAACCTCAGCAATGCCCAGAGCTTCCCAGAGCTCCAGACATTGTGTTCCTGAGTCTCCCTCCACTCATCGGCTTTGGAGAGGAACTCCCTGCCTGTTTCGCGGGGATGGAGCCGGTGGGGTCGGTGAACCTGACCCCGGCTTGATTAGAGCACTTCCACTGCCATCTTGTGGACAAAAGAGGTTTGCACACTCCAGAGCATGGAGAAACCCGTATACGGCCGGGCCCCGCTCATGGAAAGGCAAGGAAAGGGCTGAATTCTTTGGACGTTCACTGCTCTGCTGTCCAGACTCCCTGGGGCCATTCCTTGCTAGGCAGGCTGTCTCAGAGACACATGCCGGGGGAATCCCAGTGATGCTGGGTCAGCCAATGCCTCGTTCGGATCGTCCAGCTGGAGACATTGTCCTTCGAACGGACGTTCTTCCTTCTGCCCTAACAGGAGCCCTTCCAGCTGAGTGACTGGGGCCCAGCTCCTGTGTTATTAACCTCCCTGGGTGACCCTGTAGCTGCAGCCCCACGCGAGACATTTCACAGGTACTGAGACCCTTTCATCCCGCAGGGCCCCCAGGCGCTTCCCAGACACTGGCCTGACTCCAAGCCTCAGAAAGGTCTTGTGCAGACTGGGGGTGTTGCCTGGCAGCTCTGCTCCACCACAGGCAGGGGGGTGGGGGGACAGCAGCCACCAGGGAGTGACACCAAACCAGGGGTTCACGGCCTGCACTTGGGCTGCCGCTGAATGTGCAGCTGACGTGAGTGACCCAAAGTGCCTGCATGCCCCCTGCATTGGCTGTCGCTGCCCTGGCAACAACCAGAGGGGAATGAGCCCGGCCGGCCGGGGGGCAGAAAAGAGGTGACGGTCGGATTGTCTCGTCCCAGGATGTACCTGCGGGTGCTTGGAGCTGGACTCTTCCATGCAGCATACTTGGGTCGCTGTGCCCAAGGCTTGGTCTGTGCTGACACCCAGTGGCCATGCCTGGGACACAAAGCCCATGTATTTGGTGTCACGGCTTCTAGCCGGAGCAAAAACCTGTGCCAGGGAAATGTGACTCAACCCCCCGGGCAGGATTTGGGGTGTAACTGCCGGGCCAATGGCACCGCTGTCTCCCATCACCACCCCCACAAACTGCTCAGGCGCCAAGGGGGCCCTGGGGTGAGTGAATGGGCAAGCCACGGCAGGTAGGGATGGAAAAGCTCCGTTTGGCCCCTGCCAAGGCAGGGTTGTCCCCTACGGTCTAGCTCCCAGGCCTGAAGGCCCTGGCCAGGACGGCAGGGTTGGATCTGTTCTCCCTTGTTGTTGTTTTCAGAACAGGGGCTGGTCCTTGTACTCTGAACGCCCCCTGCCCTTGCAGATGGGAAGGAAACGGGGCTGGGGGTTTAAATCCGACCCATCCTTCAGTGACTGGGGCTTGTGCCCCGGGAGCGCCCCATGCCCACGCTGCGACAGCACGCCTGAGGTCACACGCTCCCTCTCCCAGCCTGCTCTGACTAGATCTCAGACAGTTGGGGGACCCAGGGCCCATGGGCTTCTGAAAACTGTTTGCAGCAGCTGACTGTCCAGCTCCACCTTCCCACAGAGGGCGAGGGGCAGGGACCGTGCCCCAGAGCTGCTGCGGAGCCGCTCCAGGCCCAGAGACACCAGCGAGGGACCCAGATCCTCTCCCTGGGGCTGAGCTCAGAGCCTCATGGTCCAGGGAGGGAGGGATGAACTAGTCACTGCTGCCCCCTAGTGCCTTCAGGCAGGACTGCGGTCTCTCTCTCCTAGGACCCGGCCATACCCAGAGGGAAGGGATTTCTCCTTGGGGGCAGTTGTACCAGGTTTAAGGAGGCTAATCACTAGCTGCCCCCTGACTGCAGCTCCAGAGGGGAGCCCAGTGCCTCCAAAAGGCACCAGCCACTAAAGGGGGCCTGTCCCCTGCATTAACTCTCTCCACCCTCCAGGGCTGGGACCACACCGTTCAACGCTGCGAAGCCAGGCAGTGTTTATGGTCCACTATGGATCTGAGTCCACAGAGTGGAGGGGCTGGTGAGGCTGTGCGGGGGGCTGGGGGCGATGCACTCCCCCTGGGTTGGAATCATGGCTTTGCTCACACATGCCATGAGTTTTGCTGGGTCTCCCTCAGGCCCCACCCCAGAAAGCCCCACACAACAGCCCCGTCTTGAGCCCACGCTGTGCCACTTGCTTTATTGGAACCCAAAGCCACAGAAAACCAAGCAGGAAATCAGTGGGGCTGGGGCAGCTGGGGACTGATTGGTGGGGAGGGATCCCCCTTTCCTCCCCAATCCCAGCATGCCTCAGAGGGGATGCTCCACCTCCTCCGTGTGGGAAGACAGCACCCTGCCGTCCAGGAGCTCCTCGATCGCAGTCTTCACCCTCCTGGAGGTGGGGGAGCTGTTAGCAGCCTCTGGGAGAAGGAAAACAGGAGAGTGGGGCTGGGGAATTAACTGTGCCACAGGGGTGGGGTGTGGCGGAGAATCGGCGCATCCACCCGCACACACGGTGCCAGGCACCCCGTGAACGCCCAGCAGCGGTGGGGAAAACCCAGCCCCACTGCCAAGGGCGCAGGGACGTGCCATGCTGTGACCCCTGCCCACCTTGGTGTAGTCAGCCGCCGAGTCGGTCGCCGGTTCCTGTCTGGCCCAGGTCAGCCGTGACTGAACAGTGTCGCCCCCACAGGCTGTTCGGGCCACAGGCTCGGTCCTGCCCTCAGCGGGCAACTCTCCCCAGAGCCAGCACCCCCACTGGCCTCTGATTGCAGCCCCTGCAGAGAGGCTGAGAGTGACTGGGCCACACAGCCCGGGCACCCCGCTGCCCCAGAGGTCACATGTGAGGCACATCCCCAGAGGCGAAGGAGAGGCCGTGGCTGGGCTGAGCCTGCTCTGTGATACCCAGGGGGCTGCGTCCCCAAGAGCCAGCCCCCCACCCCAGCCAGCACCAAACTCCGTATTTAACGGGCAGAATAAAGAGAGGGGAGGGGCGGGGTGATCCCCGGGAGGGCACAGCCCCTCGGACACTGCCCAGGAGTGAGACCGGCGCCGTTCTCCCTGCTCCGCTCACCTGGGGGTGTCTGTCTCACAGGTGACTTGGCGCCAGATCTGCAGAGAGAAAGGACAGGCACCCAGCTGAGCCAGGGAGCAGCCGCCCAAAGCCACCAAAGGCCCCTCCTGGGCTCAGCCTCTCTCTCCTTGGGACCCTGGGCCTGGAGTCTGATCAGGGCCAGTCCCTCCAGCCCCCAAATCCCTTGTGATTCTCCCAAAATGCTGCAGCGTCCCCTTTCTGCAGCAAAGGGAAGGTCCAGGCACCTGCATATGGGCCCTGCTCTCGCTTGCTGGCATTGAGCCAGACACCAGTGATCCCATCTCATGGCTGCTGGTGATACAGGGAATGGGGCCAATTCCCAGAACAGAAGGGAGAGGGGAGACCCTTGCACAGGGGCTGTCCTCAGCATTGAGGTAGCATGGCCTAGTGGTCTGGGTCTGGCCCTTCTCTGGGGCTCCCTGGCCCCCTCCCCACCTTTCATGGGTTCTTCAGTTTCCTCCTCAAGTTCCAGGCTGCCATTTTGAACATCCATGGCCACTAGGGGCTGCTCTAAGAGAGGCATTTTGCCAAGCTCACCCTCCTTAATAACATGACATGGGGAGGGTCAGTATCACTAGCCCCATTTTAAAGCTGGGGAGACTGAGGCACAGAGAGCGGGAGGGATTTGCCCATCTGAGGGTCTCCCCACACCCAAGCCTGAGGCCCCTGGAGCTAAGAGCTGCGTATCCCCGACCTGACATCGTCACCCTCCAGGAGGCGCCGGTAGGTGGCAATTTCCATCTCCAGCCTGGTCTTCAGATCCAGCAGCTGCTGGTGCTCCTCAGCCTGGCGCTGGGTGCCACTTCTCAGCTGCGCCAGCTCGGCCTCCTTCCAAGCGACGCGCCCCCGCAGCTGTGCCAGGTCGCCCCCGGAGCCAGCCTGGGTCTCAGCCAGCATGCCCTCCAGAGCCTCTTTCTGAAAGCAAAGGTGGGATGAGCCCAGCTGCAGACGCCGGCCCAGGTGCATGCGGGGGACCGACGCCCTGGCTGGCTCATTAGAGCGTGGCCAATAACCAATTTTTTGGTTCGGCCAAACAATTGCGAGCGGGAGGGAGTATCTCAGGCTGACCCAAAAGGAACATTTTTAGAATTTGTTGGCTCCGTTCTACAGCCATTCTGACCCCCAGCCTTGATGGCAAGAGGCCTGTGTACCCACCATGCTGCAGAGCGACTGCAGCTCAATCTCCAGGCCCTGGACTATGCGCCTGAGCTCCGTGATCTTCGTCCTGGCACCCTGGACAGCTTCCGCACTGGTGGCCACCTCCTGCGTGACCGTCTCACACTGCACAAAAGAGAAGAGCCTCAGGGGTCTGGGGCACAAGCAATGGCTTGGCAGGTGCCACAGGGGACATTTTGCATCCTCTCTGGTATGGGATGGAGAGAGACACCTGGACCATGGAGATCTGTGACCCTGGGGTCAAGGCAGCCACCTGCCACCAAACCTCCGGCGAGGTGCAGGAACATGACCATGTGCCACAGATGAGCAGTAGCAGAGCAAACCATCCGCCACAGGGAAGGCGCAGAACGTCTTGTGGCTTGTTGCTGAGAGGCCCCTACCTGCTCCTTGTGCCAGGCCGCAGCCTCTCTGCGGTTCCTCTCAATGACGTCCTCGTATTGGTCCCGGATCTCTGCCAGGGTTTTCACCAAGTCGACACCGGGAGCAGAATCCACCTCCACGCTGACTGAGCCCCCCAGGCGGCCTTGGAGAGCAGCCGCTTCCTGCGGGATGTAACGGGAACCAGCCCCTGTGAGAAGGAGCAGGAGGCTGGGCAGGGGGTGGGGGGGGGCAACTGACAGCACAGTGGATCCTAACCAAGGTGCGGTGACTTAGCCAGGGGAAGGGAAAGGAAGGAGCTGAGTTAGTCCCCAGAGGATGTTTGTCCAGGTCATGGTTGCAACATCCCATGTGGCAGGACTGGCAGACCAAGCTGGTCCATGAGAGGCCCATGGCGGGAACAGGAGAAGGGGCTGCGCATCGGGACTGAGGTGCGTTTGCAGAGCTGGGTGTTGGAGGAGGCCAGGACTGGGCTAACAGGGGCTGCGGGTCGGGATTTGAGGGGCGTTTGCAGAGCTGGGTGTGGGGAGTGAGGGGAATTGTTACTGAATCACGCAGCTTGTCAGTCTCCCTTTCATGGGCTTTAAAGCCCCCAAATCACTAGGCCCCTGAGTGGCCCTGTCTGGCCCTTGCAGATCCCATCGGGGTTTGCGGTGGCCGCACCTCCCTGTGGTTCTTCTGGAGTTGAGCCAGCTCCTCCTGCAGGCTTTCCAGCTCCTCCTGTGGGCTGGCTCTGCTCAGGGTCAGCTCGTCCAGGACCTTGCGCAAGCCGACGACGTCGCTCTCCCCGCCCAGCCGGGTGGCCAGCTCCGACTCAAACCTGTACGGAGAAGCACAAGACGCTGCATTTCAGCGACCCAATCGCCGCTACGTGGGTCCTGGACAGCCGCTGGGACCCTGCTGGCTGAGCAGGCAAACCCAGCCAGGTTTGTCCTAGGAGTGCTAACACCCCGACAGCGCCTGCTCTTGGAGCCTCCCCCAGACGCCCTGGGGCGGAGCGGAGTGCATGGACGTCTGCAGCCAGGAAGACATTCACCTCAGCTGGGTTTTCAAAGCAGCTGTCGTGATCGTGAGCCCTTTGGGGCAGGGAGCACATGTACAGCTCCTAGCACCGTGGGGCCTCCGCCCACAGTCAGGCCTCTAGACCACTAGCACACAACAAATCATCATCAATATAGAGTTGCCACCTTTCTAAAGGCCCCACCCTCTGCCCTGCCTCTCCCCCAAAGCCCCGCCCCCACTCCACCTCTTCCCTGGAGGCTCCACCTCCTTCTCCCCCAAGGTCCCGCCCCCATTGCTTGCTCCTCCCCACCCCTCACCCTGTCACTTGCTGGAACATCTCAAGAAGCCTGGCAGCCCCAGCAGAGCAGGGGTTAGTGTGGATTACTAACCTGGCTCCTCTCCCTGCCCCGTGGTAACCGGGCTTTTGGTTCTGGTGCCATCTAGGGTTGCCAAGGTCCCCTTTTCGACCAGACTTTCCGGTCAAAAACCAGGAACCTGGCAATCCTAAATGGTCCCTGGACACAGAAGCCAAAACCTGGACGGGTAGCAACCCTAAATAAATAACATCTTCCAGTGCACCTCTTTGGCATGCGCAAATGCCTGTCTCATGCCTGCGGAGAAAGTGCTTGCAAATTTCACTGGGGCCATTTCAGAGGCTGCTTTGAAAATGTGGTCCTTAAAGAAAAAGGCCGAGGAGGAGGGGTATCCCATGAAGATCCCTTACTTCACTCTGAAGTCGTCAGCAGCTAGCGTGGCATTATCAATCTGCAGGATCAGCTGGGCATTGCTCGTTGACGCAGCCTGGATCTGCAGAAGGAGAGAACGGGGGCTGCTATTGCTTTACGGGATGACAGCCGGCTAGGTCAGTGACAGGTCAGTGGGCTGTTGGCTACGCCCTGCTGTTGACTGTGCCATACTCCAGCTCTCAGGTGTATAAACTTCACCGGTCAGGTTGTCAGCTCCAGCAGATCTCAGAATAGTGGCTCTTAAAATCCATTTGCAGTTGAAGTAGAAATATGAGCATGATGGGAATCAGAATGAAGAGAAGTTACCATCTGCCATCACAACCCCTCTGACCCACCCACACCCACAACACACCCACACACGCCTGTTAGGGAAGGATTCAGACAATCCGAACACTGCTGCTTTCCAGGGCTGAGCTGCATTAATTTTTCACACTGGTACAAGATGTTGGTCCCTATTTCAGCAGAGAAATCGTGAATGCTACTGACCACTGAATTACCACTATTAGGCTTCCAGGTCAACACCCCTCTGAGAAGAACAGGAACAGTTCACATCACTCAGAGCTATTGGCTGAGACCAAACATGGCTCAGGCTGGTATCTCTGCACCAGCCACACCAGGGTCACAATGGGAAGATTAGCTTCCTAATATAAGGGCTTGTGTGCTTTAAAGGATGGCTCACCAAGCCCCCACAGGACAGCCCCTGAAATCCAGTCCCTGTAACAACACGGGGCAGTTGCTGGAGGCAAAGGGGGAGTCAATGCCAGGTCTCCCCCCTTAGGGGAAGGACTCGGAGTCCCAGTACCTCTGATCTGAGCTCCGCAATGGTGTTGAAGTAGCCACTCAGGTCCTGGCATCCAGCCAGCGCTCTCTTTGCATAGACTTCCCGGATCTGCTGTTCCAGCTGCCCATTGGCTTCCTCAAGAGATCGCACCTGGCAGGGGATTGAAGACCCAAGTGGATGGTGATGGACAAGGCTCCTCACCTGTCAGGGCCTGGGATTCTGGGCTCTCCCTGCGACGGACTCTGGTAACAAAGCCGAACCCGTCTCACTGCCTCAGGGGGAGGACGGTGCCACCGTCAGCAGCCAGGGGGGCACAGCCCAGCGGGAGCTGGGCTGCAAATACTTTGCTTACAACAGATTTGTTTGTACATTTGCGGGCTGGGTTTCAAAGTGGCCTCAGGCCAGACTCTAAATAAAGCTCTAGGAGCCTAGAGACTATGGTGATGGGCAGCCTAGCGAGAGAGATTTCTGCACCCACATGGCTTGGACAACCCACTGATCCGTGTGTCAGCTGCCCTGTGTTTGTACGGCCCCCAGCACCACGGGCCCCTAGTTACTACCATACCAAACGGGATTAACAGGAAGAATTCACGCGCACTATGGATGTTCCCTTACTGAGAGCTTTGCTGCCCGCTGGGTTTTACTTGCTCTCCTGCTGAGCCATGCTGTCACATCAGCCCCCCAGCGTTAGGTGTGGGGCTGCCTTCCAGCCCCAGCCAGCATTGCGCTCACTCACCGTCTCCAGGTAGGCAGCCAGGCGGCCGTTCAGGTTCTGCATGGTGTCCTTCTCATTCATGCTGAGGAGGCCCGTTTCCCTGGCACCCCCTCCCAGCCCAGGCCCAACTAGACTGGCATTGCCAGAAAACAGACGGCTGCTGGTGCTCCCAGCCCCTCCACAGACACTGAGTCCTCCCGGAACGCCCCCCTGCAGCCCCCTCATGCTGATCCAATTCAGCCGGGGCCCCAGAGTAACCCCAGAGCAGGAGAAACTGGCCATGGTCCGGCTGACGGCACCTTGCCGCCCAAATCCCTCCCTCTGCAGAGTGACAAGGAGTCTGGCTGCACCGAAGCCCCAGGGAGTTCCCTTATATAGGGAGTGGAGGGGCTGAGCCAGTGCACCTGACCTCTCCCCTTTCGCCCAGCCAGCAGTGTTCGCACTGTCAGCCCAGGTGGAAAACAAGCCTCTGTTGACTTGTTTTCTTCTTTTTTAAGCCAAACTTGTTTTACAACGAGAGGGCGGAGGCCAGGGCCTGGATTCGGATCTGTCAGCCCCAGCTGTGCCGCTGGCTGACCGGGAGCAGAATCTGGCCCCGTGTGTTTACAGAGCATGCCCCAGTCCCTGCAGCGTGCTAAGGAAAGTGGGCACAAAACGCCTGGATGCATCCCAAAGGACACCCAGCGTTATGGGTGCCAGGCAAAGCATCCCTGAGACACGCTGTGTGACGGGTGGAGTCATCTGCCCTGGACGCACGGATCACACAAACCCCAGCCCAGCCCCTGCTGAGCACTCTCTGGACAGCTTCACTGACGCTCAGGTTGCCCTGGCCCCCCTGGGCAGTGGCCTCGTCTGCTGGAACTTCCCTCAGCAGCCAGCGCCTGGCCCCCTCTCTGGCAGGAACGCAGGCTGGAGATCAGGATGGCTCACATATCCCCGCTAGCTGCGATCCCGCCATTGCACGCACGTTACTAGTGAAGTGCACTCAGAACGCCCCCGCGCTCACGTCCGTGCGTGCAGTGGGACACGTGGCCAGCACATGGTGCAAGACCCATTTGAAAAGGTGCCCTTGAATAAAGAGGAGTCGCTCCGGAGTGTCCGGCATGCTCCATCCTGGGACTAGCAAATACAGACATCGCCCTGGGATTCCGCCTGGACACAATGCTTCGGGTCAGGCCCAGCTCTGCTTCTACGGCTCTTGGGGGCCTTCCAGGAGCTCAGCTGCTTTGCCAGGAATTCCCTGCCCCAGCTAACGCCACCCAGCCCTCGCTACCTTGTGGGCACGGGATAGGCACCTCAGGCATCCGGAATGGCTACATCGCCCCAGCTGTGTCTGTTCTCGTTCTCACCGTGCAGGCTCTGACAGTACACTCCTCCCCCCAGCAGCCGCCCGCCTTCCCGAGCGCAGGACCTGCGACTACCCAGCCCTCGGATCCCCCTGACTGCTTCCTTGGCATTCTCAGATCAGGGCTGTCCATGAAGAGCCCAGCCAGTGCGTGTGGGCGACAGGAAGCACGCTGGGGAAGACAAGCTGCTTCGTGAGAATGTTTGAGCCTGGAGGCTGTGTCTGAGCTGCGGAAGAGAAACAACAGAAAGCCAAAAACTGGCTTAGCCACCTGCTAATTATTCCAGGTTTACCCAGGTACCAATAACCCCTAGCTCGCCTCTAGCCCTTTTCATCAGTCGATCTCAAAGCACTTTGCAGAGGCCAGTATCGTTATCCCCATTTTACAGATGGGGAAACTGAGGCACAGATAGGGGCTGTGACTTGCCCAAAGTCACCCAGCAGGCCAGGGGCCAAGAACCCAGGGCTCCTGAGTTGCTCGCCAGTGCTCTAACCACATGCTGAGCTGCTGAAGGCACCAGCCTCGTTTATGTAGCACAGACCTGCCGCGCTGCCCTGCCGTTCCGTCGGGTCTCAGCCTACAGCAGGCGTGGTGGAGAGCCAGCAGAGAAAGGGTTCATCTAGCACGAGTTTAGTTGCCCGCAGCCAGTGCCCGTACTGCATTTCTGGGGCAGTAGATGTGGTCCTAACAAGGTGAACCAGCGGGACTGGTGCCTGAGGAATTGTTTCTGTTTTCTTTGCTCCGTGCAAAACAGGGATGGAGTCCCGGCCTGCCAGTATTTCTGGTTCTGGTTCCAGCTGGGGCACTGAGGGTCGCACGCGCTGCCTGCCCTCGGTACCTGCCTGCACCTGTCCAGTGTGTATGGACGGCACCTGCAGCCACGTTCATCCAGTGACACATACAGGCACGGAACCAGCCAAGCCAACTGTCCCAGCATCAGCCATTGGCAAACAGCAGAAGAGACCAAGGTGGCTGGGCATTTGCAGAAGGGGAGGAGCTGAAAATACTTTGGCAAAAAAACTATATGGCTAGGGGAAATTTGAGGGTTAATAAATTCCTTGATTCTAAAGCCAGAAACGACCCCTGTGACCTCCCGTGTAACACAGGCCATGGGGCTGCCCTGACTTCATTCCTGGTCCAACTAGAGCAGATCTTCTAGAAAAACACCCAATCTGGATTTTAAAATGGCCAGTAAGGGGGAATCCCCCTCCCCCACCCTTGGGATGCTGTTCCAGGGGTTACTGACCCTCCCTGTTACAAGTCTCCACCTGGTTTCCTGTCAGAATGTCTTTAGCTTCAGCTCCCAGCCATTGGCTCAGGTTAGACCTTCGTTTGCTAGACTGAAAAGCCCATTATCAAATATTTGTTCCCCTTGCAGGTACTTATGGGCTGTGGTCAACTCACCCCTTAATCTGCTCTTCGATAAACTAACCAGACTCAGCTCCTGGAGTTGCTACTAAGCGCGTTTTCCAGCCCTTTGATGATTCTCCTGGCTCTTCCCTGAACCCTCTCCAGGTTGTCAACATCCTCCTTGAACTGGAGCGGAGCTCGATCGGCCCGAAAGACCAGCCCTCCCTGGGTTTATCGGCAGTAATTCCCTGGGGCTGCAAATGACTTCTAACTGTTCTGCACAAGGACTTGGCTAGTTCAGCTAACGGTACATGTAAACCAACCCTCCTCCCCCTTCCTACAATACACTGAAGAGTTTCCAGGGGCTTGAAGTGGGAGTGTTCCTTTGACTTCTTTTTCCTCCATTATGTGTTTGCAGAGTACTGGGCTGGGCTTGCTAGGTTGATATGCTGTGTACTGCAGTAACACCTACATGCCTCAACTGGAGATCAGGCCTCCCTGCGCTTGGTGCTGTACGCATACATAGCAAAAATACGGTTCCTTCCTCCCAAGGGCCTGCAATCTAAGGGCTTGTCTACACTCAAAACACTGCAGCGGTGCAGCTGCCCCAGGGTCAGTGTAGTTCTCCGGTCGGCGTAGGTAACCCACCTCCAGAGAGGCAGTAGCTAAGATGACAGAAGAATTCTTCTGTTATCCTAGCACAGTCTGCACGGGGATTTAGGCTTAAGTGCACCATTCAGGGGGGTGGATTTTTCATAGTTAGGACGACCTGATTGCCTAGTGTGTCGACCAGGCTTAAGTGTGTGATGCGGGTACACAGGTAGAAACAACACCAGGTGGTGGAGCAAAGGGAAGAGTATGGTGTCCCTAGCCTCTGTTTGCCAGGAGCTGGGAATGGGTGGTGGGGGATGGATCACTGGATGATTCCCTGTTGGGTTCATTCCCTCTGGGGCGCCTGGCCCTGGCCGCTGTCGGCAGACCGGACACTGGGCTGGACGGACCCTTGGTCTGGCCCCGTCTGGCTGCTCTCCTGTTCTAAGAGTGAGCCTGCAAAGAACAGCGCGTCACAGCTCACCAGCTGTGTTGTGTCGGTGACCCACCACCATGCTGCAGACGAGCGCTGCTGGACTGCGCATGCCAGTTTGTTATTGTAGGGTTGTTGTCGGACGCTGGGCTGGGAATGCGGGATTGTTTTCCGTGCTTCTCGACAAGCTGATGGAAAGTTTCTCTTGGGAGATCTCTTCTGCACCCACTCCTTAGAGAGCCGTGTGTCTCTGTTCTGTCTAACACAAGGATGGGCAAACTATGGCCCGCGGGCCGGACCCAGCCCCTCAGGGCTTTGGATCTGGCCCGCGGGATTGCCCCCTGTGGTGCCGCAGGCCCCACGCCGCTCTCAGAGGCAGCTGGCACCATGTCCCTGGGGCCCCGGGGGCAGGGCGGAGGGCTCTGTGCATTGACCTTGCCCCCAGGCACCGGCTCCCCGCAGCTCCCATTGGCCGGGAACGGGGAACCGTGGCCAATGGGCGCTTCAGGGGAGGTGCCTGGAGGCGTGGCAAGGGCAGCACACGGAGCCCTGTTCCCCCACCCCCAGGGGCCGCGCAGGGACGTGGTTCCAGCCACTTCTCGGATCGGCGCGGCGGTGGGGCCAGGGCAGGCAGGCAGGGAGCCACCCCAGAGCCGCTTTAGGTAAGCGGTGCCAGGCTGGAGCCCAAACCCCTCCTGCACCCCAACCCCCTTCCCTGAGCCCCCTCATACACCCCGCACCCCACCTCTGCCTCAATCCCTTGCCCTGAGCCCGTTCCTGCACACCACACCCCCTCCCACACCCCCTCCTGCACCCCAACCCCCTGCCCTGGCCCTGCATACAATTTCCCCACCCAGATGTGGCCCTTGGCCCAAAAAGTTTGCCCACCCCTGGTCTAACAGGAACTTTGCAGATAAAGTCAGTCTTCCTACCCTGCTGAGGGGATTGTTGGTGCCCTGTAGAGTAGAGCCCTGTAGTGTATCATTCAACAACTCATAAATAACATCTGTCTGGCTACGGGGTCCCCACTCCAATTCGCCACGTCCTCGATACGTCTCAGCGAAAAGCAGGTGTTCCTGGTTATACGCTGCCGTGGGCCTGGGCTATGCCGAATGGCGCCCTGAAAACCAAGCTGTCAGGCTCCACATTGCCAAGTTTGCAAGCACAGAGCTTGTCAACCACAGAGAACTAGACTTAGGCCTGCATGCAGATAGGAGTGGTAATTTACTAAGTATTTTGTGTAAACGGATCCTGCACCGATTTAATTCACTCTTTTAAATGCACATGCATTGGATACAGAAGTTTGGATGGCAGAATTGAGCTCACAAGAGAGATCAACAGTGCCACCTTGTGGACACTCC